GAGAGAGAGAGGGAGGAAAAAATGTTTTGAAATTTATAAAAAAATTAGTTAGAAAAAGGGGCCAAAATAAATTTAAAATTTGAAACAAGAAATTAATAAAAAAAAATAGATAGAAATTTAATAATAGATCGTATCTTAGAAAATATGCATAATTTCAATGTAATTTTTTTTGTTTATATTATATTATTTAGACTTAAATATATAATTGATGTAACACCTTAATTTAATTTCTGATTAATAATTTCGCAAAATGAAAGTAATAAAAGTTTCATTTAATAAATGATCCCATTATAGAGTTTCATAAAATGTTTCCAAAACAATAAAGGATTACAATTTATATCAAAGACTGTTACATGACTAATTCAGTTACATCATAATTTCAAAATACAATCTACGTTCTATAGTAGTTCATCCTTCCTTCACTGAGTTCAGTGCTAATCGTCTTGGTCACCTGAAAAATAAATGTAAGGGTAAGTACTTTACACTATCCAACACACACAACTAACATAGAGTTTCACCATGCATATCTATAGGTATTCTAGCATATTTACTCACGTCTAGGTAATTACAAGCAACATTTCAAGCATTTCATTCCAGTTCATCACCGATGCACTTACGGCACCATAACAATTTACACATGTGCTATTATCACACCTAGTCACACTCACTGTGGCACTGTGATCACAGATTCACATCATGAATGGTCGCTGGTTACCCTCGCCTCACGGATACCGTGTAGGCAGTCATGGGTCGCTCAACAAAGGTAGTGGTCAGAGGTTTAGTCAGAAGGAGAGTGTGTGGCCTGTGGTGCACCCACGCTCACTGTTGGTGTCACTACTACTCTCTCTTTCCCAAGGTATTTCTACCATCCTCATCTTCCACACCTCCAGTATATCATTGAACTATTCACAGCATCATTATATTGACATTCAATATGCCCCATTCACACACACATTTTAACTACACACATTACTCATTCACAACACACGACACATAGACCCACATTCATTTGCACACACGGCACAAGTGCCCCCATTTATTTACAATACACGACATATAGGCCCATATTCATGTATACAACATTTCAATCATCAATCAAGGATATACAAACACACCTATTCACCCATATCGGGCTCAACCATTCTACTCATCACATTCAATATCAATTCCTCCAAAAAAATTCACTCATAATTAGCTTTCACATTATCAAAATCGCACCCACCACATATTATCCATCAAAATACACAATTCTACACATCCTATCTCAATCATATTACAAAAAACATAGCAATTAAATAGATTTTCAAGCAAATGAGATAGGGTAGAGTCTCTCTTTACCTCAAATGAAGATCCACACACCAAATCAACGAGGTAGGTGCTCCCTCACATGAACTTCGACCTAAACACATGGAAGAACCCCATGAAAATCAAAGAAAACCAAGAAATCAGAGGATAGGAATGAGAAACCTAAACACTAACCATTAAAACTCACCTTTAAGCGTTCCCTACACAAATCCAACCTTCAATCTTGCTCCCAAGCAGCTTGGAGGCAATTTAATCGGTGAAATAGGGTTTGAAAGTGAGAGAATTGAAGAAATCTTGAAGGGAAAGTGAGAAATAACCATTTCTCAAACCCTAACCCCTTTAAATCCTCTTCTGATCGTGATACTCTTATACAGTGAGATACTCTCGCTGTAATGAGGGGACCTCGCTGCAGCGACACCATCTCTCGCTACAGCGAAAAATATCTGAGAAAACTGCACCCTGGTTTCTACAGAATCTCGCTATAGCGAGACCTTTTTGACACAGTGAGACTGCACCCAAAAATGCACCCGAAACTACTACTTTGTCGCTACAGCGAGACACTCTCGCTACAGCGACAAGGCGACAGTTTCACGCCTTCTTCCTAGGGTCTTCTCACTACAGCGAGACACTTCTTGCTGCAGCGAGAAAACCCTGCACCAGGACACTTAGCCAAATTTCAGTCTAATTCCAGCATACACATGTATTCTCATCACCCTATATATATACATAATAATTAATAATAACCCACGAAAGTCTACGTAAACACTTATATTAATAATTAAACTATATTACAAAATTTAGAGCGTTACAACTCTCCCCTCATTTAAAGAATTTCGTCCCCAAAATTCAAACAAGCATACATACAAGTTACACAAACAATTCCGGGTATAACTCTCTCATTCTACTCTCCGTTTCCTATGTGACATCTCCCTCATCACTTGAGCTCTAAATCACCTTCACCAATGAGATCTCTTTACCTCTTAGTTGTTTAATACGGTGATCCGCTATCCTTACCGGATACACGTCATCTCTTACTTGAACCGGGTCAAGATCAATCACATGGGAAAGATCCGACACATATTGCCTGAGTTGTGATACATGGAACACCGGATGTATATTCGAGAGGTTTGGAGGCAATGCTATCCGGTATGCTGCAGGGCCAACTCTACTCAACACTTCAAATGGTCCATTAAACTTAGGAGATAGTTTCCGAGATTTCAGAGCTCTCCCAACTCTGGTCACAGGTGAGACCTTTAAAAACACATGGTCACCCACCTGGAACTCCAACGGTTTCCTCCTCTTATCATAGTAGCTCTCTGTTTGTCCTGTGCAACCTTCATTTTCTCTCTGATCATCTTGATCTGCTCATTCTGCTTCTAGATCATGTTTGGGGCACACAGAGTAGTCTCTCCATTCTCATACCAGCACAAAGGAGTCCTACATCTCTGTCCATACAGAGCCTCGAATGGTGCCATCCCAATACTAGCATGATAGCTGTTATTGTAAGTGAACTCCACCAATGGTAGGCATTCTTTCCAAGTCACTTGCTGCTCAAGCACACAAGCCCTCAGTAAGTTCTCTAAGGACTGGATAGTTCTTTCGGTCTAACCATCCGTCTGTGAGTGATACGCTGAACTAAGTTTCAACTTAGTGCCCAACACCCTCTACAGGCTCTCCAAAAACTTTGAGGTGAACCTCGGGTCTCTATCGAATACTACACTCGTCGGCACTCCATGCAACTTGATTATCTCTCACACATACAAGTTTGCCAACCTCTCTAACTTATACTTTATGTTAATCGGGAGAAAGTTTGTAACCTTAGTTAACTAATCCACTATCACCCAAATGACATCATGACTTTTCCTGGTCTTTGGCAATCCAGACACAAAGTCCATAGAAATACTGTCCCATTTTCACTCAGGAATCTCCAACAGTTGCAGCAACCCAGGTGGACGTTGGTGCTCTATCTTTGCCTTCTAGCAGGTCAGACATCTAGTCACATCTCTCTTCATTCCATTCCACCAAAAGCTCTTCCGGAGATTCTGATACATTTTGGTCCCACCGGGGGTGAAAATTCATCTTACTCTTATGCGCTTTCTCTAGTATCATTTGTTTCAACTCATCCACTTAGGGAATGTACACTCGGTTTTGAAACTTAATCACCCCGTTCTCAGCACAGTGGAACTCCAAATTCTTGCCCTCATTCTTTTGTCTCATCATATCTTGTAGGAAGGCATCTCCCTGCTGCGTATCTCAGACATACACTAAGAGGTCATTATAAATTGTCGTTGCTCCGAGATACAAACTTCCCAGCCTCACCTCTATGACCAAGTTCATGTCCTGAAATTCCTTAATCAGCTCCATCTCTTTTATCATCATTGCTACCACGTGCAATGACTTCCTGCTCAAAGCGTCGGCCACCACATTTGCCTTGCCAGGATGGTAAGACAAAGTGAAATCGTAGTCCTTGAAGATTTCCATCCATCTCCTCTGCCGCATGTTCAGCGGTCTATGATCAAATAGGTATTTCAAACTTTTGTAGTCATTGAACACTTCAAACCTTGCTCCATATAGGTAGTGCCTCCATACCTTAAGAGTAAAATCCATCGCCGCTAACTCCAAGTCATGACTTAGATAGTTGACTTTATGCAGGCGTAACTGTCTCAAGACATAGGCAGCCACTCGTCTGTCTTACATCAAAACACACCTAAGTCCTTGCCCGGACTCATCACAATACACATCAAACTTCCTCTTCGGGTCGGGTAGAACTAACACAGGCGCTGGCGTTAACCTTATTTTAAGCTCTAAGATACTAGCTTCACACCATTTAATTGTGACGCCTAAAAATAGAGAGATTTTTTTTTTAACAGGAGAAGCGAACAGATAAACACATTCTTTGAACTCACAACTAGCATATCACATTTCTGCTTAGAGGTTTATGGCCTTAAAATATAATAACAAAACCAAAGTAGAACAACAACAATACTCCATCATAACTGAATAACTTCATGCAATAGATAGGGAAATAGTTAGTAACAATCTCAGAGTAGTACAACCTGATAAGGTAAAATGACATAATTAAAGTGCATAAAATTAACATAGTTCAGAGATACATGGAATGAAACAGACTGACTCTCTAAGAGCAGTTCCCTAAGAAACAACAACAGACAAACTATCCTAATCAGTCAAGAGAAGAATAATCTTCCATAGGATCAGACTCCTCAGAAGAGGTGGGGGAAGAAGACGTAGCGGTAGCAGCGGCATTCCCTTCATCACTGTCCTCTATCCAGCCAGCAGTGCTAGGGGCCGAAAGAGAGGTAAGGAAGGGTGAACGGAGTGGTCGGAAGGTAGGGGACATATACGATGGTTTAGCCTCATATCTGACTGAGGATTCCACCACATGGACATCCCTCTCAGCAGGTGCAGGCGGGGAATCAAAATGCAGAGGGGGGAAAGGTATAGGTGCAGGCGAAGGTCTAGCACTAGGGCTACGAGGGTCAACACAAGTGGGTGAGGGTGAGGCGGATAGAGCGGGATAAGGTAGCTGTGTGTCTCCAGGAGGAATAGAGAAAACAATCTCAATAGGAGCTTCAGTCACGTACTCAGCAATCCATGAACCTCCACTATATCGTCCCTGAAGGGTGTAGGTATGACCACGAAAAATGCTCTGCTGGGCCACGGCGTCGAACACCCACATGTCTTCCTCAGAGGGAAGGACCAACACTCTCGTCCCGTTCCTGGCCATCTATAATGCATGGAAAGTAAAACAGAGACAATACAGCCAAGGGGTGAGTTCTCCAAACACGATTTAACATATAGTTGCCATACCCCAAGGAAGGTGGCGTTTCAGACACAAGCATATCAATTACTACAAGGCATAACAATTAATACATTCCACCATCATCATGAGATATACATAGAATATGATAACAATCATTAGCATGCAAGAGCAATTTCACAGTCAAAAACAATCCACTGCCTACTAATGATGCTCATGATGCATGGATGCAATTCCTACCCTCATCATACATCTCTAAAATTTCTCTTTTCTATGCACATGGTATGCATGGGGATCCCTTACTCTACTGCTAGCGACTTGCCCAGCTTTTAGTGTAGAGTTAACAATTTCATATCCAAGTCGTGTGGCGATCGGAGGACTCCATTCCCTGCATCACAATTTGCACAAAAAACATTTATTTCATTATTCCAAGAACACCCAAAACTGGTGCTGGCCTCAAACTGGGTTTATTCGGGAATGGACCTCAACGACCCTAGGATGTGGAGTCCTTGTCGGGCTTGGCTAAGGCTTGCAAGTAGGGTCACGACCCGGCCACAGAGAGCTCTGCTGCGCCATCTAGGTCGACTGTTCCCCCTTTTGCCACCCCCAATAGGTCTACTCGGGACCAAACTTCCAATACCTACAGCTGTGCCTCTGTTGTGCCATCAAGTCGTTCAAGAAAATGATATGATGCATGAAACATTTTTATGTTCACAGTTCCCATAAGCAGACAAGGCACATTCCATCATCTTATAATCTTTACCATCCAAGTTTCATGAAGTCCCACCATCCAAGCACAAGTTTTACCATCCTTCATCGTTAAAAACTAAAGGTGATTACAATTTAAAGCCATATCAATCACATTTTTCCAGCACTTGCATATAACCATATTCAGAACTTTCCTAACTTCAAAGCTTGGCTAAATTAAAACATACATTTCTTTTCTCACGAGGTCAATCACTCAAACTCACAAGCAACAACAATCATTCAACCAATTAAATTCAGCATGGGTTCAATCAATTAATTCAAGGTAAAATGCTTCCAATCTCTTTGGTTATACCTAGATAAAACAAGACATCAAGGCGCGAAAACACTAATCTTTTCCCTAAGAGTTAAATCTGTCCACCACTCACGTTTATTATTTTACTTAAGTTTTCTAACATACTAAAGTAGGAAAATCAACATACAAAGACTCTAACTCATTGTCCAAGTTTCATGATTTTATTTTATAAGAAATCAAGCTTTTAGGGACACAAGACCGAGGCATATACATGTGTTCTCCTTTCAAAAATTCGGTTGTTAAACACTTTAGTTCACACATTAGCCAAGGTTCAATCCAAGCATGACATCTCCAAATAATTTGCATCACTTATTGTCAAAACTGAAAATCATTCAAGTTTATTGGTCCTTTCTTTTTACAAGGTTAATGTCCATGGTCCATTCTCATGCTCCCAATTAATTTTAAAGTTCTAAAATATGAAATCCTTGCCTTTTTCCTCAAAACGTTCAAAACTGTCCAGCCTTATGAACCTCCTTATTACTTCCTTCTTTTTCAATCATCACACCACTAAATCAAGGGAAATTTTTGTGCAAAAACAAGGTTTCATCATCTAAGTGCAGTACATCAAATTTCCTAAGGGATGTCCAAACTTTCAAGAGTGAAACCGAAATACATAGGGCTGAAATTAACATGCAATGATGCAAAATTAACGTGTAAATCCGTGGTTTCTTGATTCCAAGGGTCAATCAATATTTGAACAAGAGATCAAGTCAAAAGGTATACAAATCCGAGACATGCAAGTGGAAAGAAACCACACGCACACATCAATGGTTCAAACTTTTAAGAGTGAATTCGTTAAGAGAAAGGTTCACTTTTTTTTTTTGAGAACTTAACATGCAAATTCAGATTTGGGGTATATTCAACATGCAGTCCAATGTATAGATTTTTCTAAGGACGAACAAGCAAAACAGCCAAGGAAAGACAAGGAAATCAACATGCACACTTCAAAGTCTCAACCTTTTTGTGAATCAAGTTGATTAAGAAAAAGTCCACTCTTTTTTTTTTCTAGGGGCTGGCCGAGACATGTAAATGGGAAGATAACACACTCTTTGAAGGGATTCAACATGCAAAAATCAGATTCAAGTCACTTCCACATGCAGTCCAAAATACAAGAGTTTATCAAGGAAAAACAAGCAAGAACATCAAATCGCAACATGCAAAATCAAGCAAGGTGAGAACTCCCCCTTGCCTTTGATTTTTGGACTTGAGATTGAAGAGAGAAGGGCTGGAAATGGTTGATCTTCAAGTGAAGCTTGCTGGACCGAAAAAAATAGTGGCAAGATTCTTCAAGTTCTCCCTCTAAAGTGGGTTCCTTCAACACGAAAATTAGAAAGAAAGGTAGAGGAAGGTGCTATGGTGTTAGGCTCCCCCAAATCAACGAAGTAAAGATGAAAAATGGCTTACCTCCTTGGTGTTGTGGTCTCGGTTTGAAGAAAGCAAGCAAGGAACAAGGTGAGTGCTTGGAGTCTCTCGGTTTTGGCCTTGAAAAGTTGAGAGAATGTGAGATTTTTGGGGAGGGAAGGTCTCGGTTTGAAGAGAGGATGGAGAGAATGAGAAAGTGGAAGGGTTTCAAAAGAGAGTGTGAGATAGTTTCTTGGTTTGGTGTAGCAAAAATGCAAATTCGGACCAAGTGTCCCCTTTTGCATGAAAGGTGAAAATGAAATGGCCAAGGGAATGGATTCACGGCCCTAGGCTCCTTGGATAAGGTTCTAAGGCTTCCAATTTTGCAATTGGCCAATTGAAGTAAAAGGATTGTTGCATGAAAAGGGGCTCACGGTTTTTTGTGCATGAATAGTGACTTTTAGAAAGGCTTGCAAGTAACACTTAGTGTATTTTGATAAGCAAGCTGCATGGAATGGTCTAGGCTGCATGCACACGGTTTTGGTGAGGCAAGTTCCAAGAATCGGCACAAAGTATCAAGGCTTAAAGCTTTGGACAACATGCATGCAAAATAATTGGCCGATGAGGAATTTGACGCAACTTGGTTGACATTTGAAAGGACATTTGACATGGTGGCAATTTCAAGGAAATCATGTTGGAATTTGTAAGACAAGACAAGAAAGTTCCGAAGTGACTTGGTCTAGGAATCGGGGAACAAGATCCATTGCATGCAATCTTAGTGGCCGAACTAGATTTTTGGGATCTTCAAGGGAATGATTACTAGATCTCGTGAAATTTCGTGCAAAATTATGACGGCTAAGTAATCGTTGAAAATTCAAAGTAATGATTACCAAATCTTACGTTTTCAAGAAAGATAATTATGATAAATATATTTATCAATTAATTATTATTATTATTTTTTGAATAATTCAAATAGAACGAAAATATACTTTCTGGACAGAATTATCAGTGGACACTTTAGACACTACTGTAGAGTAAATTAGTCCTGGATGATCTTGAAACCAAGTATTGCACGCAATTTTCCCTAAAATTCCAACTCTAAAATAAATCACTATTCTAAAAATTTTAATTTCCATCTACTCCTTCTGATACTAGAAAGTCAGAGACAGCGAGAAGTTCTAATCCAAGAGTTGCTAATTAATTCATGAAATTTGGGGCATTACAAGACTACCCCTCTTAGAAAAATTTTGTCCTCGAAATTTCTAACCTGAGTTGAACAGATGCGGGTAGGCTTTCTTCATATCGGCTTCTCTTTCCCACGTGGCATCTTCCACATTGTCAGCACTCCAATGCACTTTTACTAGAGAAATCTCCTTATTTCTGAGCTGCTTAGTTCTTCGGTCACTAATCCTAAAAGGTCCAACTTCGAATGTAAGGTTCTCTCTCAAAGAAATTTGGTCAGGCACTACCACATGTTAGGGGTCAAGAATGTATTTACGAAGCTGGGAGACATGAAAAACATCGTGAAGATTGGATAACTCTATAGGTAAAGCAATTTGGTAGGCTGACTTCCCAATTCTCTTCAATATTTGGTAGGGACCAATGAACTTAGGGTGGAGCTTTCGAGATTTCAGAGCCCTACCTATTCCCGTTGTTGGGCTCACTTTCAAAAATACGTGGTCACCTTCCTCAAATTCTAAGGGTCTCCTCCTCTTATCGTGATAACTCTTCTGTCGGTCTTGGGCTGCCTTCATTCTCCTATGGATTTCTTGGATTTTCTTTGAAGTCTCTTGAACTATGTCGGGCCCAATCAACAATTGTTCACCTTATTCAAACCAGCATAGAGGCGTTCGACACTGACGTCCATATAGTGCTTCAAAAGGTGCCATGCCGATGCTTGAGTGAAAGCTGTTGTTATACGTGAACTCAATCAAAGGAAGATGTTGTTCCCATTGACCTCCTTGCTCTAGCACACAGGCTCTTAAAAGATCTTCCAAAGTCTGGATAGTTCTTTCTGATTGTCCGTCAGTCTGAGGATGGTATGCAGAGCTAAGCTTCAATTTCGTTCCGAGAGCTTGATGAAGGCTTTGCCAAAATCTTGAAGTGAAGCGGGGGTCTCTATCCGACATTATACTTTCTGGTATTCCATGGAGCCGTACTATCTCCTTGATGTAATTTTGAGTCAGCCGTTCCAGGGAATGCTTCATGCTTATAGGCAGGAAGTGAGCTGATTTGGTAAGACGGTCGATGACGACCCAAATGGCGTCATTCCCATTTCTGGTTCTTGGGAACCCAGAAACGAAATCCATAGCAATGTCACTCAATTTCCACTCTAGAACGCTCAATGGTTGGAGTTGTCCTGCTGGCTTCTGATGTTCTATCTTTACCTTTTGGCATGTTAAGCATGATGCAACGTATTCTGCCACAGACTTCTTCATTCCTGGCCACCAGAAACTCTTCTTTAGGTCTCGATACATCTTAGTTGATCCAGGGTGAATACTAAGAGTGCTTTTATGGGCTTCATCCAAAATCATTTTCCTCAATTCGTCCTTGTCAGGAACACAAATTCTCTCCTTGTATCTAATCAGTCTAGTCTCGTCTTGTTGAAAGTGAGAGTCCTTTCCCTTTTTGAGTGCTTTTAGCCTTCCTGATAGCAGTTTGTCGTCGTGTTGCGCCGTCCTTAACTGGGTTAAGAACTCATTGGTGATCTTGAGGCTTCCAAGTATCACACTAACAAGAGTAATTTGAGTAGCCAGGTTAAGGTCTCTAAATGCTTCTAGTAGTTCCAGTTCCTTAATCATCAATGACGACGCATGAAGAGATTTGCGACTCAAAGCATCCGCTACTACATTTGCCTTGCCGGGGTGATATTGTAATTCAAAGTCGTAGTCTTTAAGAAATTCCATCCATCTTCTTTGGCGCATGTTTAGTTCCATTTGATCAAATAGGTATTTTAGACTCTTGTGATCACTAAATACTTCAAATTTTGCCCCATACAGGTAATGTTGCCATATCTTGAGCGCAAAAACTACCACTGCTAATTCAAGATCGTGGGTTGGGTAGTTCTTCTCATGTGGCCTCAATTGTCTAGATGCATAGGCTACCACTTTCCTATTTTGCATCAGCACACATCCAAGTCCTTGATGCGAAGCATCACAGTATACATCAAACTTCTCTTGTGGATCAGGAAGTACTAGAACAGGTGCAGAGGTTAAACGAGTCTTTAGCTCCTGAAAACTGTCTTCGCACTTATCATTCCATTCAAAAAGTTGGTCCTTGCGAGTCAGCCGAGTCAGCGGTGTAGCTATTTTGGAAAACCCCTCGATGAAACGTCGATAGTATCCAGCGAGTCCTAAGAAACTCTTGATCTCCGTTACCAACTTAGGCGGCTCCCACTTTAATACAGCCTCCACTTTTGATGGATCTACTGCGATTCCCTCCTTTGAAATTACATGCCCCAAGAATTGAACTTCCTCTAACCAGAACTCATACTTGGAAAGTTTCGCATAGAGCTGTTTGTCGTGTAATATCCCAAGAACAATCTTCAAATGCTCAGAGTGTTCTTCGTGGGTGCGAGAATACACCAAAATATCATCGATAAAAACCACTACAAATTGGTCCAAGAAAGGGTGGAAGACTCGATTCATGTAGTCCATAAATACCGCGGGCGCATTCGTTACCCCAAAAGGCATTACCTGATACTCGTAGTGTCCATACCGAGTCCTGAAAGCTGTTTTCGGAATGTCTTCTTCTTTAACTCCAATTTGATGGTAGCCCGATCTTAGATCTATCTTGGAGAACACTACAACTCCTTTCAATTGATCCATGAGATCATCAATTCGTGGCAGAGGGTACCTGTTCTTAATAGTAACCTTGTTCAATTGACGATAATCAATGCATAACCTCATACTCCCATCCTTTTTCTTCACAAGTAAGACTGGGCCCCCCAAGGTGAAACACTGGGTCAAACTAGCTGCTTGGCGAGCAATTCTTCTAGTTGATCCTTCAATTCTGACAACTCCGCTGGTGCCATTCTATAAGGCGCAATAGATATGGGACCAGCGCCAGGTATCAAGTCTATAGAAAACTCAATTTCTCTTACTGGGGGTAATCCAGGAATATCCTCTGGAAATACCTTGGGAAACTCACAAACCACTGGAATATCTTCCAATTTTCCTTCTCCTTTGGCTTCGACAGTGGCCAAAATAACATAGGCCTGCGCTCGTTCTACCAAGACTTCTTTATGGTTCCAAACACTAGACTCTGGACAACTTGATTCAGTCGGCCTAGGGAAATCAAAAACTAAAGTCTTCTTTTGGTAGTCCAAAAGGACGTGATTGGTAGAAAGCCAATCCATCTCCAAGATAACATCCAGGTCAAAAAGAGGTAAACATATCAAATTAACGAGAAAGTTCTTGCCCTCTATTTGGATTGGACAATGCAAGCAGACATGGGATGCAGTTACGGGATTACTAGCAGGAGTAGAGACAACAATATCACATTTCATAACAAGGATAGGTAATTTCAATTGCCTCACACGGGACTGAGAATTACTCGAGCCTGAGTATGGTCCTTTTGAGAATCTAAGGGGTCTTCTGTCTTGCCTCACTAGACCAGCTCTCCTAGTATCCATTATTTTATCCCTCGAGTTAGCTTCAAAGATTCTACTCTTGCTCACCAGAGTGGGCAAGTTTGTCAGCTGGAACACACTGATTGCAGCTCGGGTGTCTGGCCTCAGCCCGTGCTCAAACTGAGCACACAAGTCCTCCTCACCATCCCCATATTGGTAGTGAGGCCAGTACTTCATTAGCTCTTGAAACTTTGCTGCATATTCCCCATTATCATGCTTCCTTACTTCAGCTCAAGGAATTCACGGGCTTTTTGCTTCCTCATATCCCGGGGAAAGTAGTTCCCTAGAAAGATCGCCTTAAAGGTCTTCCATTGAATGTAACCACCCTCTTGTGGCAATGTTTGACCGGCAAACCTCCACCAGTCTTCCGCCTCTCCACACAGTAGGTAAGTGGTGTAGTTCACCTTATGTTCCTCACGGCACCCCATCGCATTGAAGACTTTCTCTACATTCGCCAACCATCTTTGGGCTCCCTCAGGGTTGAATCCTCCCTCAAACTTTGGAGGATCGTGGCTGGTGAAGGCAGACAATTCTCTATACTCAGTTGGCTCTCCGCCTTGGTTATGCACCAAGGTCTCCAGAATTTGAGCCATGCGCTCCATGAGATCACTAGTGTCTCTAGCTCCTCTACCTCTACCAGCCATGTTTACTCTAAGCTATAAAAATTCAGCAAACCACAATTCAAACTATCAGGTCAATGACAACATTTATAATTCAGGTAAGCAAAACAAATCAACACTTAACTTGAACGCTTCAGCTCGTTGCTCCAGTCTGATTTGGATGAACTGCTTTGATACCAAAATTGTAACACCTTAATTTAATTTCTGATTAATAATTTTGTAAAAATGGGAGTAATAAAAATTTCATTTAATAAACGATCCCATTATAGAGTTCCATAAAATGGTTCCAAAACAATAAAGGATTACAATTTATATCAAAGATAGCTATAAGACTAATTCAGTTACATCATAATTTCAAAATACAATCTAAGTCCTATAGCAGTTCATCCTTCCTTCACTGAGTTCGGTGCTGATCGTCTTGATCACCTGAAAAATAAATGTAAGGCTGAGTACTCTATACTATCCAACACACACAACTAACATAGAGTCTCACCATGCATATCTATAGGTATTCTAGCATAACTTTTATCTAATAATAATGTTAGAAAATATTACTACTACTATTCTTTTTTCTGATTATTTACAAGAAAATTTTCACTATTACAGAAGCTTGATTGGCCCTATCCAACGTATTTGGAAATTCAACCACGATTTGCCAATCAATTTTTTTTTCCCTTGAGCACATCGTATGTGTCAAAGCTTGACTTAATTGCATCAGTAGAAGTGGACATCCCAGATGATTGTCATTCAAGTGATCGGTGGGGAGTGGCTATATTTGTTGCCTTAGAAGCTCAAGTTCCACAAGATTTAAAGGAAATGCATGAAGATGCTGGTTTTGGCCCTTTTGGGCTCAAATTGATGCGCTTGTATTGGAGCTTTGACGTCAAAGATGGCCCCTCCTTATCGTTGTCCTCTTTTTCAACAGCAAATAATAACCTTTACCTATTTACAATGATTGTGAGTGGTGATTATATATACATTCAACGACATCACAGATGGAATAACAAGTTCAATCGATATCTCTTTAGCAAGCATAGAAAGCCAGAGTTTAAGGATAAAAATATGCTATGCTTTGAAGTAAAAGTGGAAGGGCGCAAGATAAGGAAGTGTGAGTGGTGTTTGTTGCACAAAGAAGATAGTCTTGAAGCCCTGCAAAACATCAACAATATTGAACTTGTTGACACAAAGAAACCTTCAGATTTTGAGCATTCTAGTGGTGTGAACAAATCGAGCATGGATGAAATTAAGGAAGAGGATTCTAATACTTCAAATGAGGAGAATATAGAGAGATCCAATGCTAACTTCTCATTGGTAAGTCACCTAGCTTCAAATACAAGCATGCAATTTTTAAATTTTGTTAAGAAATTAAACGAAAGGTCAGTATTTATAAGCTATTGGTTTATACATATGAGTAGGCTTTATCAGATGAAGTAAAACTAAGAGTCAACACTAACCAATTAGTTAGTTAATTTATCATTGTTGAGGCAAGGCTTACTTTCATTGCAAATCATGGTTGCATGGCGATTGCCTCTATCATGTTCTAGTTCTTCCTACAATTTTACTTGTGTAGTATAATTTCTGGAGTTTGCATGGAAAAGTACCATCCTGCAAGTGTGATTGAAAAGTAACAAGTATACCTAAAATTTGAGCCCTAATTTTTAAAAAACTTACATTCTCAGTCCCAAATGCTATTTATACGGATTTATTTTATACGACACATTTCTTTTTCTTAAAAAGAAAAGCATTAAATTTTTTGTCATGCTTTCTGTTATCTGAAAGTTAAATTATATCTTCACTTCAACAAGGTTAAATTTTTTTAACTAAATTACATAAATTAAGAAAAGTTGTGAAAAATAATTAATTTTTTTTCATAAATTAATTTCAAAATTCTAAGTTTATCCCTAGATAAAGTTATATTCTATTGTCATATTAATTGTTAAGAGGTTCCATCTTTATAAAAGAAAAATATGTAAAAAATAATGCTCTTAAAACTTGTTAAAATATTTTATATTAACGACTAACAAAGGATTTTTAAGAGAAATTTATACAAAGGACGGATTGAATGTATATTTATTTAATTTGTCTATCACTGTGTCTTGTTGCAGGGGAAAATGTGTCACAATATTATACACACACTTGGTTTTAGTGTGTTAGTTTTGTTGTCAATAAAAATAGGGGCTACCCTTTTCCTTTCACATGGGCAGGGTTTGGGCTACACCCTTAATGACAAATGAGGCCACCAACCTTCACATAGCAACACATAAGGCGACTGCTAAGGTATTGAAATCATGTTGGGTTTCTCAGAAAACGACAATTAAGGTCAATAAACAACAATTGCAATGCAACATCAATGTAAGGCAGAGATTGTCATTTCCAGTAAATCAGTCACCAAGGAGGTTCAGATTTTCTCATAGTCCCCTTCGTTCTTACTTGCCAATATGAGGAACTTTCTTCTCTTTTACAGTGAGTTCTTTTTTAGTAGTTTATGTTTATTTTAGATTTAATTGCACTCATAATTTTTATACTTTAACTTATGTGTGAATTAGTCTTTTTAATCTTAACTGTTCACGTTTAATCTTTCTATTTTTAAAATTATTTGAATTAAGTCTTTTATTATAAAATTTAATCTATTTATTAACAAAATAAATAGAAGGGTGGCATATTATTACTTTATATAATTAGTAAATAAAATAAAATAAAATACTATATAAAATATGATAAAATCCTTGTTTTAATTTTATTTAATTATTTTATAAACCATTTTCTTTAGAAATTTGTATAAATCAATGATATATTATATATTTGTTATATTTTTGTTAGTTATGTTGAATAGATTTTTTAGGTGAGAGACTTAGTTGAACAATTGAAAAATTATGAGGATTAAATTAAAAAATTAAAACTAAGGGAACCAAAATTACAAATAAACTAAAGTATGAGCACCAAAAGTGAAATTGTCTTTATTTTATTTAATTCCAAATGTAACCACTAAAAAAAACTCAGTTTAGAAATGGTTGTAAAATTTCACATTTGATTTTAGCTAATATAGATTTGTTGGATTAAATGAAAGTAACCAAAACCAAGGGAGGATATGTTCAAACTAAGTTATTAGTGAATCCAAGCAAATTGTTGAACAGGTAGCATGTGCCTCTGAAAGGTGATCAAGGAAGTATAATGAAAACAAATGCTGTTCAAAGTGGAAAAGCAACTAGTTTTGAGAAAAGATTGAAGAGGCCTAGGAAGTTCATGAAGATATAGTTTAGGAGGATTGATTGAAGAAGTCAAAAGAAGTTTATAAAAATTCAAGTTGAAGGAAGTCAAAATGCCAATCCAAGTTCAACTAGAATTTCAATTATTTTGTGTTACACATTTATGTTCGTTATTACCAACTCAAATAAATCGGAATGTGAAGTTCGACATTAAGGATAGCACAAGTGTGAAAATCCTATGACAGTGGTAGTTTTCTTTTTTTCTTTTTTTCTTTTTTTCTTTTTTTTCTTTTTTTCTTTTTTTCTTTTTTTTCTTTTTTTTTTTTTTGAGAAAAACTTAATCAGACAATTATTTATATGGTTTTTTAGTTATGGTATGAAATTCATAAATAAAAACTTAATTTAAATAATTAAAAAATTAAGATAAGTAATTGTGTTCAATTAAAACAAAAAAAAAATCATAATCATAAACAGACAACTTTTTATATGGTTTTTTATTTTGAATTTATTAAAATATGAATTTTTTTGACAAAATTACATTATATGATTTTATTTAAAATACCAATGGTGGTTTTTTTTGGTTATAGTAAAAAGTTGACATTGGTCATTTTGAAATAATAAAATAAATTTTTATACTTCTAAATTTGCCATTGGTAAAATTTAAAAAAAAATTGACAACTAAAATTTTCATTGGAGATTTTTAAAAAAACATAAAAAGCTTTTCTAACACTTAGAAGTCTGTTAGTAACCCTTTAACTTTTAAAATAAATAATATAAAAAATTGTCCTAGCTAGTATAAAATTGCTATTAGTAATTTAAAAAAAAATCATCATTAGTAATTTTTTATTGTTGAGCTTATAAATACTGCATTCTTCATTCATAACAAATACCAAATGAATTTTAAAAGTATTCTTTAGGAAGAAAATTAGTGTGATAATACTAATATATTTTAATTGTGAGATTTTTACAAACATGAGAAAAGGTGTGACATTTATATGTGAGAGGTTAACAAGTGTGTATATTTCATACAATGTATCATTTAAAGAACTAAAGTGTTGACTTCAATTTACGAAAATAGTGGAAAGTGTTATTCAAATGGCTACAAACTAAAGAGGAGGGAGGTGTGTAACACCCTTAATTTGTTTTGTTTTTATTGCATTTGTATGTTGATTGATTGTGCATGTGGCTTGGAATTAAAAGAATTTAAATTGTGATAGCTGGAGGGAATATAGCTTAAGCGAGATATATCTCACTCAAGCAAGATTGAACGTTCTAAACTAGGTAATTTTAGAGCACTCTCGCTCAAGTGTGATAAATCTTGTTAAGGCAAGAATGACCCTCGTTCAGGCGAGAATATAAAAAAAAACTATGAAAATTTCACTATCTAGCTTTTTCTCCAAGCGAGGATGACCTTGCTCAAGCAAAAGCACATGAACTTGATGGGTATTTAAGGAATTTCAACTCATAAAATTTGCATTATAATCCAAGTTATGAAATTCTAACTCTTTTCTCTGAACTCTCTCTTCCCTTCTTCTTAGAGAAAGCCCCTAAGCTCCGAACTCATCTCAAATCCGAATATGAATATCTGTTCCACTGAATCCATAGTAAGTATCTTGGAGCTTGACTTTTCAATCTCTTCTTTATTTTCTAAAGATCTCTTGATGAGAATTGAGAAGGAAAACAATAGAAGAACTTTTACAATCAAGAATCTTGAATCTCAATTACAGTGAAAAACTTAGAATTTGAAATTAATCTCAATATCTGAATAAAGCTCTCTCTTGACCTCCAAAATTAGAAAAATATGCTTTTAATTATGTTGATCAAATGAAGATCAGTCATATATACATATTACAATCTATTTCAAGGATTCCAGTTAGTTAAATTTGAATCTTACATTTGGTAACTAAATGGTAATCAATTATCATGTGCCTCTGTCTTTTACGACACGAAAAAACATATTCACTTGATAACATATTACCAAAAATTGGTAACAAATTACCAATGTGTTATGTGAAATATGATAACTTGATTAATAGAATTGGTAATCGATTATTATATGTCTCTGACTTTTAAGACATAAAACAAATTCACTTGATAACGGATTACCAATCTATTATGTGAGACATGAAAATCACATAACTAATTAATATGTTTAATAATTGATTACAATTGTTTTCAAAATAAATGGTAAATTATATAAATTTAGTAATCAATTATTGCCCAATTTTTAGTTAACAAAACCTTTAACAAATTTTATTGATAATGGATTACCAAATACTAGTAATAGATTACCCATCTATTCTATTACTTCACACATCATGCTTTATTATTTAAGACAACTTAATGAGCTTTAACATTTCAAGAAACTATATAAAAATATGAATTTTTCTTACCTTCTTTCTTTTAAAGACTTTCTTTTCAAATTGATCACTTTCTTTTCAAAAACTTAGAGAGCTTTAAACAAATTTAAAAAGTTTACAAATGCATACACAAATATACTAATAATCATAAGGTTAAATTTAATGATGTCTTCATCAAAACTTGTTCAGCTAGTAGCCGAGGAAGATGTTTTCTCACAATCCATTTTTTATAATGACAAATCATTCTATCCATTTCTTCAAAGAAAGATGTATTGAAGTTGTTGCTCTCTCAACATAACTCCCCCTTAATGAATGATCTTTTTCAGATTAATAGGTTTGGGGAAGAGGAGTTCTTTCTCTGATAATAGCCTTTGATAAAAGTCTGGAAAACAACTCCTATTCTCCCTTTTTTGGCATATCAAAAAGATTAAAATAGAAAAATGTAAAGGAACGCTAAGGAATATTAAGGTTACGGGGAGAAGAAGAACAAAGCATGACAATAACACATGCATATATAATAGAGTCATAAACACAAGTCAAAGACAAAATAAAGTCAGCACCTAGATAAAAGCATAAGAACATAATGTTGACTTATCTAAAGAAAAGAGAAAGTGTAGTAGTTATAGATATTAAAGATGGGTCATTTGAGCATCCAAGTTTGCCATTTACTGCCTATTTTCCTCACAAAAATCATTAAACGAAGTATGAAAGCCATTCAATTTATCAAGTATCAATTGCAAAGGGCTTTAATCAGTCTCATCTTGAGGATCAACAGAAGACTTATATTGCTAGTTACCATCCATACATTCAATGTGCATTCTTTTAATGTGTCTTTGTCAATAAGACTACTCGATTGCAAATCCATCACACCTTCCTCATTTAAATCCACATTAAGATAATCTATAATTCTAGAAATGAAAATAGTATATGGAAGATTGTTGTCAACTTTAGCTTTAATCATTTATTGTTGTATAATAAAAGGTCAGTTGCGAAAACCATTCTTAATCCCATAAATCAGTTGCTTGCATATCAACATTAGTGATTTGGGAGGAGTTGTAAGTATTGACCAATCTATTTAAGGTTTATACAACTGTGACCATCATCTATTCCTTAAATATTTTATTAATGTAATTAAAATCTTGAACATTTTATTACATACTTGCAGCTAAATAGACAATTCAAGTAGTAATGATCATATTTTCTGTTTTGTACTTCAGGGTCTTTCTTGATGCAATGATGAAAGCAATGAAAGAATGTACATAATTATCATCAGTTGTATGATTAAGCTTGTGGACTACCCTCATAAAATGATATCTGAGTTTAGCTATATAAGTTATTTATTGCTGAAATTTGTTGACTTGAGTTGTCTTATAAAGTAGTTTTATTTCCTGTGGAAAATGATCAACAATTGTACCAAATTAATTACCAAACTGCTCAATCTTATGAGTAAGTATAAGATTGACGTTAATAGTATATACATGACAATTAGTTGGTCCATTTTATTAGCTTCCCAATACCACACCTCAACAGATCAAGAAGGCATACTATAATTGCATGAAAACATGTCACTTAGACTTGATTGACAACAATTATCCCAAGACTACAAATTGTTACATGTTCACCAATAAAGCCTACACGGTTGGTTCCATTGAATTTCTTATATTTTAAGCTTTAGAGAAAGTGTTATTGAAGTTTTATCCCGTGCATTTATTGAAAATTGACTATTGCAGTGCAGGTGCTCAATGGTAAGTACTTAAATAATATGTTTTATCTTATAAAGTAGTTTTATTCACTGATAATGTCAAGTTTACTGTTAATCATGTTGTTATACAAGTTATATTTTCTTGGATGATAACCTACTTAATTTATTTGCTAAGATTTGAAAAATACTTTGACCAGTAAGTATTCTATCCATCTATTTGCTTTGAAAGAGTGTGTTTTTATTGTTTCCCATGCTCTCAATTTGCAAAAAAATACTAGAATTGAATTTTAACAAAACTGATTTTGAATAATCTAGTTTTAAGCTGGAAAACCAGTTTTAAGTTATCAATCTGGTTTCGAACAGGTTTTGAACCACTTCTTAAATAATTAAACAGACCTAATTTTCATAATGTTTCATTTTGTATGACTTTGGCTAATTTATTAAAAATAGAGAAAGTTATCTCTTATTTTGATAAGTAACTTATAATTTTTATGTTTATTAAATAATCTTTTGTTTGTCAACAGATAATTAATTATAAAAAATTAAGTTTTATATGTGTACTTTACACAATCTCATATAATTTTAAAAAAAACTAATTATATAAATTAAATTTTAAATCACACTTTATTTTTCTCCAAATTAGTTCAGAACTTATTTTAAAATTTGAAACCAAAGGTTTGATTCAAACCGGTTTTAAATGTGTTTTTTTTTTTTAAAATAAAATCAATATTAAATATGTTTCAGCTCATAAAAACTACAAATATAACATATTTGTTCCTGCATTTCAGGTATTGAAACGTTAAGAATTTAGGCTGAAATTTGTTATACAGAACATAAAAGGAATGAAAAAGGAGATAAGTTTATGAATGAGATAGACACAAGAATAAAAGTAAACACTACTTTAAGCATTGCTGACTTGGTAAGAAGGAATTGCAGCAGTAGGATCTATGAAACAATGGTGAAAGAATGAGTTGAAATCAAGAAATGAGAGAGCTTTCTAACATAGTGCAGTGAAGTTGCTTGCATTATGTATTTCTTCCATCCATGAGAATTTTTCTTCATGATTCTCTTCGTCCATCTTCTACTTTTTTACCTATGCGCTCGTTCATTTTCAAAAATATAATTGCATTACAAGATCATTGTTTTTATCGACTAAAAAATCGAATGCTTATTATATAACACTGCCCAAAATTTACTACTAAAGTAACACAAAAAATAATTCCAGACACACTTATGGTTCTATGTCAATTTTTCAAATAATTGTCGCATAAATGTCCCAAATAAATGCTCAGAAAACACTCTGGACGGAGGAAGAATGGAAACAGTCGAATCTAATAAAATAATGGCGACTATTTTACAATGAGTCACATAGTAATACATCTGCATAATGAAACTTTACAAACAATTTAATTTCCCTACTTATGTTAAGCTAAGGAATCCAGAACCCACCCAAAACAGTAGATAAATAAATAATAAACTCTTCTTCACAAATCCAAATCCTTAGAGTGTGTATTATCTTATCTTAATTTGTCATTCCTCTTCAGTATTCTGTGGGAAACTCACAGGTACCATAACCTGCACACAAAACAAACTCCACCTTATTAGTGAAACATTATAACACAATCAACACACAAGTTAGATAAAAAATTTAGAATACTTTCAAAAAACATTTTTTTATTAAAAGCATTATCCTGGTAAATACTTTTAAGAAAATTTGAAATATCAAAACATTTTTGTATTTTCATATAATAAACATTTTATTTTGAATAAATCTTAAATAGTATTTTTTAAAAGTTAATAAAAAAAATGAAAGGAATTTCATGGAATACTCACTAGGTTGCTGGGAGACCACGTAAGCCGCACCGTCGAAGTAGCAACTCCCACTCGCACGCCCCTTTTTCTGATAATAACTATTGAACGCGAACGAAGCATGAGCTACAAGCGTGTTAGGATCGTAACACGTGGCACCCATCTGAATCGGACGGCAATCAGCGCCCCCTTCTCCACATGCATAATCCAAACCCTTCTGCAGCTTCTCCTCTTGCGCGTGAGGGTTCGCCACGCACCACGCGCTCTTCCCGCCACCGCTCCTCTTGGAAACGCCGCCGGCGACCGGACCCCTTCCCGCCGGCGAGGCAGCCTTCATCCCCGCCAACGTAAACGGGACGTCGTAGACCTTCTTCATGTCGGGGTAAAACAGTCCAAAATTTCGCTCCGAGGTGGGTCCCACCTTGTGGTTTTCGTTGAAAAGCGCGAACAGATAAACGGTGAGATTGGCGTTGGGCCTTAAGGGGGTCCCACCGTTGGTGAGGATCTTTCTTACGAGGTTTCCGTTGAACGCAGCGGCGTTCTGTGGGGACGCACCCACCTCATCACTGTCTCCCTTAGAAGGCCAACCCGTTTCGCTCACAACGACCCTTACGTCGTCGTATTTGAGAGCAGATAGCGCCGCAAAAACAGCGTCGATTTGGGCGTCGAATAAATTGAAGTATCTCAACCCGTTACCCGGGTCCACGCTCCCCGGGTTCTCACGAAACAGAGCGTAGTCCAATGAGATGACGTCAGCGTTTGACTCGTAAGCGAAGAACGGGTACACATTGACCATAAGGTACGACGCCGTTTCTCTGATGAAGTTCAACATCGGTTTGAAAACGGGTTCCACGAGTTCAGGTCGGAAAGACCCAGACGACGACGGGTAGGAGGATCCGAGAGCCGTGAGTGCGATGGGGGAAGAGACCTTGATGAATCTTTCAAGGTTGTGTTTCACAAGGGCTTCGTGAATGTTCCGCATTGCAGGTACTAGGTACTTCGTCGTGTTGTGAGAGTCTACGAACACTTCGTTGCCCACTGCAATTGCTTCGATTTCGGTGCGAGGGTGGTAAACGACGACGTTTTTTTCCACCCATGATTCGGCGAACGAGCGTTTCTTGGCTGCCAGGTAGAGTTGCTCGTTGGGTAGATCCACTGTTACTTTGATCCCGGAGCCAGATAATGCCCGGAGCACAGCCGGGTCGGTGTCGTATAACTTGACCCGATCTACGCCCTGTAATTTTAGTAGCTTAACAACCTTAACCGCCGACGGAAGGTTGTCGGCCACGCGCCCGTAGTTCACTCCAATAGAACTAGCATCTGTAAGCAAATATGGTAACACAAAACAACCTTAACGTTGTAAACAATAGTAACAACAATAACAATAATAATAACAATGCGTTCTCATTACCTGAAAGAATGAGAATAGTGAAGAAGGAAAAGAGGATGGCAGAGACTATGAGACGATGCATGGTGGGTATGGAAGGTTAGAACAAATGCAAGGGAGTGATGGAGGGAGAGAGCTCTTTTATATGCATGATGAAGTGTTGTGAAAGGGACCCACATGTCTTCAATTGTGTAATAATGGAGAGGGAAAACGATCAACACATTGGGGATTTGGGTTTGATTGGTCCCACACAGTGGTCAGCGTCACGATGCCCAAGGAAACTCGACCGTTTTGTGTTTGGTACTGGTTGCCAGTGCAAGAGAAAGAAGGGAGATACTCTACATCGCAGGTTCAGCGTGCCACATGCGGTTTACTCGTGGATGAGATCCACGTGTCCCCAATGGCTTCGAGTCAATGTTGCAGTTACTATAAAAAGAAAGGCTGATTTGTGCAGGTGAGTTATGATTAGTGAACAGTGATTACTGAGTGGAATTTTGGTGGCAGCGACAGCGTCCCGTTTGGTTGGCTCCCAAAGTGCCTTTACTCAAATTTGAACGTTAGAATTAGATGCAGCTGGCATTCTGCCAAGCACTGGAAAATCAAACTTTTACCAAAAAATTATATTTATTAATTAACTCTTTTTTTGTGATTTTAAGAACATATAATACAAATTGATGTAAAAAATTATAACCTATATTAAAAAAATTATTAAAAGTTTTATCTTAGACAACTAAACTTTCATTTCATATAATTATGAATGGTCAGAACTCAGCGATTTAAAAGTTTTATTTAAAATTATATTACAATATATATATATATATATATATTAAATATTGTTTTAATTTTTTGAACCAATACCTTAAATATATTTTTATTTTAATTAATTAATGTTATATCTGTAAGTAACGTTTAAAAAGTAGAATTTCGTAAAAGCAATTTGTTTAGTCGGACAAGTTTGTACATCACCGTGCAACGTTCTAAATTTCACATGGAATATGTCGGATCGCAGTTTCATAACTCATAATCAAAAACTAATAAACGTTATTATTCTATTTGCTTTCATTATAAATTTAGACAAAAATAAGGCTTTTTCACATTTAATTTTTAGTTCAGTCTTAATGTAAAATTTTTTATACTATCAATCAATTATAATACACAGTGAATGCAACTTTTATGTTAATAATAAAAATTTATTATTATTTCTGATATAATTTATGATTAAATGATAGTGTAAAAAATCTTTATACTATCAGTATATTGAAATTAATTTTTTTCAATAAATCTATTGCCCAACATTTTTTTATATATAATTGTTGGAAAAAAAAGTATAGAATATATTTAACTAAAAAATGCATTTAGAGAAAAATGAGATTAAATATATAGAGTTTATTTTTGTAAGAACCTATAAGCATAACATCAGGTGATTCTAAACATCATCAATTTTTGAGGCACCATGTGGTGTTTCCTCTTAGTCCTGTAATTTCTCTTATCCTTCTGCTTATTCTGTAAGAATGTATATGCAAATTTCTCTGCTCAGTTTCTAGGCTGTTATATATATATATATATATATATATATATATATATATATATATATATATATATATGAGCTTTAAGGCAAAATTACCTGAATATGGTGCTATGAGAGAATGTCGGATGACATTTTTAGGGTAAAAAAATTAATTAGCAGATAAAATCACTAAAAATGATTTTTAAAATATTAAAATATTTTTTTAACATTTAAAAAAAATTAATAATGGTAATTTTTTAAAAAATATTTTTAATATATAAAACACATACTATTGCTCTCACTTAAAGTTCACAGACAACTTTTTAACTAGAAAAAATTATTAAAATTATTCTTACCATTAAAAAATGTCAATGATTGACATTTTAAAAAATTTGTCACTAACATTTTTTTAAAAGAAATCATCAATGATAGTTTTGAATCCTAATCTTTAAATGTATATTCCTCAATTATACAAATTGTAAGTGAAGAAATATTTTATTTTTTATTTTTATTGCCTTAGGTAAATAATAAAGTTAAGACTCCAAAAATAGGAGAAAAAACAAGTTATAAGTGTCTAATCTTGATTTTTGGCAGTTTTATGAATTACTAAACAATTTCAGTAAACAATGATGATGCTCAACAAATACTTTAGATACATCATGAATGTCATCCCCAACTCTTAGCATTGAGTTGTATGTTATTTTTAAAAAAGATTAAAAAAATATGCAAATACTATTCCAATCAGAAAGGTAGAATGAGATAGAGTATCGCAGAAAGTGATGCGACAATATTGAAGGAGAATATAGAAACAATGAAGATAGTAAAGATAAGAATGCAAATGATGAAGACCTCAATTAATCAAAAGCAGTGGTTAGGCAAGATTCATTTGGGGAGTCATCATTCATTTGTGTTTTAGATCTTAATGTGATGCATGTACCTGAATTTTTAGAATATACAAACTTAGGTACTTCAGGTTTATAATTATTTTTATTGGTAAGTATTTTATTTTTTTTTGTTTTAATCAGTTTATATTTATGTTTAATGATAGAGAAGTAGTTACATGAATAATTAAGCATTACAGTATATCAAAAAGAGTGAACTACAAAGTGTTTGAATCAAAATCAAATACATTTTATTGTAAATGTGTTTGCTATGACATAGGTTGTAGATACATTGTTTGCGCTAGTTTCAGAAAGGATAAGAATGTTTGAAAAAAATAATAAAGCATAATGAGTCACACAGTTATACTAGAACAAGGATTTCACATAATCATATAAAGTTAGATATAGATATAATTGCGCAATATATCAAGCCAATAGTAGAATCTAACATTTCTTTTAAGATAAAGCTAGGGATTTATGAGATTCAGTCTTGATACGAATACACCACAATATACTAGAAAGCATGGATCCCAAAGCAAAAGACACAAGGCAATCAAAGGACTTCATTCCCTACTGCAAATGGCACAAAACACAAAATATATCATTATCAACATTAATCGGATGCATCGCGTTAATTCAGGAATGGACCTCAACGACCACAGAAATGTGTGATCCTTGTTAGGTTGGCAAAGGTTTGCAATGGTCACGACCCGACCACAGTGAGCTAGGCTGCGTCCCCTAGGTTAACTGTTCTTGTTTTGCCACCCCCTATAGGTTAGCATGGGACCGAACCTCCAACACCACTGGCTGTGCCACTGTTCATTGCCTTCATGTTGTACAAATATGATGCATGTTGTAAAGCTTTCTTTTTCTTTGACAAGTTTTCTCGTTTAGTTATTTAGCCACCTCGAGGCTAATAACACAAAAAATATCAATAGCCAATCATGGCGAGGCTCCATGAGGTCAATATCACTAGCCAATCATAGGGCTTTCATCACAACAAAATTCTACGAGTTCACAAATATTTCATAAGTTCAACTGTCTATCTCATTCATGGACTCAAACATGTTCTCGTTTCTCATTACATCACCCTTTTAAATCAAATGCAACACCTTGGTAAACAATACCACATTGTAAATAAATGCACTCACTCTAGCTCCATTAATTAATTCACTCTCAATTAATAAGACCTTTACTCTCTTCTCTCTTCTATTATTAACCTTATCAAATTAAAGTCTACTTCAACACTCCCATTTTTCTAAGAATCTACCTTCTTTAACTTAGTTAATTTCCATTACTCAAACAAAGTATTACCATACTATCCAAAATCCATTTTAAGGATCCTAATTTTCATTTTAATATCTCAGTTGTCCTAAGTTATCATTTATTTCTAAGTGAATGAATTAATTTCCCAAAATCATATTGTTTTACCGCTCAATTTTTCTCTCTTCAACAAGGGTATTCACTTAAACTTAAACTCTATTATAATCCCACCTTGTTCTGACATGTTCAGCACATAAAGACATCCATCAAGACTACATAAACACTTTGTTCACCATTCTTTCCTCAAACAGTCCCAAGGCATAATGTCACACTCCAAAATTTACTTACTTTGAAGTTAATTACTAATTGTAGCAATTTTAAAAAAATTATAATTAGATCATATATATATAAAGTTAGGAATTAAAACACACTTAGTTGAATTTACTCAAAAAACAGACGAATAAAGGAAAAATCAAGTAACGAATTATAGTATAATCCAAAATTTATAATTTTATAAAATCTTAATTATGTATTACAAAATTTATAATCAATTGGGAGACAATAAAAATAGAAATTAAGAATAAGTTACAAAATTGGCCCAAGAAAAAGACCAAAATACCCCTAGAATAGGCGTAGAATGAAGACTTAAGTTGGATAAGGAAATGATAATGAAAAATTCTAAAATTTTCATGATAAATTATTAAGCCACATGAGGTTGTATTTGTTCAAGAACAAAATCCAAACCTCAAATATAAAATTCAAACTAATTTTTGCAAATTCAACACTCAAAATGGTGTGAAAAGGGTTAGACAAATGGGCCAAAACTTTCGATTTTGTAATCCTACCTTACCCAATTCAATTGGCACGTTTTTGGCACGAAAAAATATACTAAATTTGTCAATAATTGGGTAAGGGATCAGCTGAAGTGAAGTAAGCCATAAGAAAGAAGACTTGGTTTACTAAAATTCCTTGATGATGACATAGGGTCAATGGTTCAATCCCTAACCAAGGAGCCTAACCAAATGCCAACCAAACTCAGCCAAAAAAATAGTGTTATGTGAGGGGAAAAAAACTGAAATTAGAAACGAAGAACTAAAGACAACCTAAGAAAGAACACTTAGGCCAACTAGATGACATCACAAGGGTCCAAAATATCCACTTTGAACATGATTATTAGCGACCACTTTTCACCATAATAAAATTTGAATTTGGGGAAGGCTTCAACAACAAAGTTACTCCAGTTTAAATCCTCTAATGGTCGTGAACTCCCTGCCCTATAAAAACTAAGAAAAAAGATTAAAAACTATTTCTCAAATACAAGGCCTAAATTCACTTGTAAATGGAGCAAATTTGAAAACTTGGCCAAAATTCCTAAATCCAGCCAAATCAAACTCTTCTACACATCTGATCACATCCAACACATGCCAAAAATAAATCCC